TAAAATTTAGTAGAGAAACTGGTGTGAGAATCATTTATTTAAAAATTGATAAATTTTTTAACCAATTCCAAACTTCCGGGTCGGATCCACAGAGACATGTTACGTACAGTAACTGCCCCCAAGAGATTACCCAAAATTTTACTAATGAAATGGTTGCACACGTACTAAATAAAGCTGCACTGATGATGCTGTAGTATAGTTGGCTTATATTATTGCTTAGTGCCGACCTAACTCCGGGCCTATCCCGACCCTAAATTGTGGTCGATCTGCTGAATTTTGGTTGCTCCACTAATCTATCCGATGCATATAGTGCATACCGAAATATGTACGAAGTTGGCGGCGCAGACAAAATTCTTAAAATTTGTTAAGGTTAGGGTTAGTGTCAGGGTTAGGATCGAGAGAGGAAAAGTTTATATAGTAAAATTGTCCAACGAAAGCTTTTTGTTAGAACGCAAAAGGTGGTTTATTATACTGACTTTTGAGCTATGAGCGATTTTTGCAATATGAACGTTTGTTTTGAATCTTCTTGATCGTGTTACGTTACACCTAATTTTGAAATCTGCGCCGCCAACCTTGTACACATTTTCGGTATGCATATATAGTTGTGCGTAACATCAAACAGTAGTAGACTATATCGTTTGAAATTCCCACATTTTCTGAGTTCCCTCTAAAATCTAACAAATAGAAAAATCAAATTGACTAAAAGAATGGTCGGAATTGACTGTATGGTAGACAACCAACATAAACTACGAGCCACAGCATGTTTATTTAAACCCCACCCCCCCTTTGTAGCGTTCCGCAGACTCGAACCGAAATCCGAACTCGAACCGAAACGACGAAGCGGTTTCATTTTTCAGAACCTACTGATTCCGGATCCAGGATACCCAATGTGACCTGCATAGATCCGCATAACGAATAGAAAGTTGCACGAAAATTTCTGTCCAGGTTTTGTCAATCATTGTGACGCAGTAAAAATTTTTAAGGCTCAAAACGTTAGGGTTAGCGTTTTGAATAAGGTTAAAGATTGGCAAATTATATAGTAAAATCGCTCAAAGAAAACTTTTTGTTAGAGCACTAAAGTTGGTTTTTTTTTTTTTTTATGCATATTTTGAAATAAGCGATTTTGACAAAACGAACGTTTGTTTATTCCTGATCGTGTTACGCTACACCTGATTCATGAAATTTGATTTGTAGTTTAGGGATAGATTAGTGGTGCAACCAAATCGACCAAAATTTAAGGTCGGAATAGGCCGGAATTGATCAATTTCTCCAAAAATCACACAAAATTTCACTAATGAAATGGTAGCTAACGTACTATGTACTAAGTAAAGCTGTCCAGACGATAAATTTGCTGTATTATAATTGTCTTGTTATGCCGGCTAGCTCCAGGCCTATTCCGACACTAAATTTGGTCGATCTGCTGAATTTTGGTTGCTCCACTAATCTATCTATATACTGTATATCAAAATTCATATTTTAAAAAAATCCCCCAAAATGTTAAAATTTGAATACAGGTCAGCGTTTATTTATTTATTTGTTAATTTATCTATTTTTTTATTTTATTTTTGTTTATTTTATTTTGTTTTTTTCTATTTTCAATTATTTTTTAAAAACAATTGCAACAGAATTCAGTATAGAACCGTGATAATTAATTTACTACAAAAACTAAATGTCCGATATTTTGAAAATGTTAATTATATAGAAATGTGATAACTATTTTACTACAAAAAAAAAAAAAAAAAAAAAAACAAATGTTCGATATTTTGAAAATGCTAATTATATAGAAACGTGATAACTAATTTACCAAATGTTCGATATATTGAAAATTGTTTATGCCAATAAAAAAAAAAAGAGGTTACAAGAAAGAAAAATGTTTACAAAAAAGTTTACAAGAAAATAAAAATTACAAAAAAAAATATGTATGATTGTTTCTAATCTAAAAATTATTATTGTGTATAATCACCCAAAATTACACCCAATGTTTTTGTAGCAAAGCTATCTCTTTTACGTTTAGAAAGGGAAGACCCTAAATTTTCTAAAATTTCAAAGGAAATGTTTGCTAAAGCTTCGTGAACTAACGTGCTCACGTGATACGCGTCCCAAAACATGAACAAGTCTTTTTCATCATTATTAATTTCATCGACATTAATTTCATCATTAATTTCGTTATTTGTATTTGAATTGGAATTGCTATAAAAATCATTAGCTGCATCCACTCCATTTTTAATTCCGTAACAGGCCATGCCCTCTTCAGTTTGTAATTGGTTAAAAAATTTATCAATTTTTAAATAAATGATTCTCACACCAGTTTCTCTACTAAATTTTACTAGGTGCTCAAGTAAAAATTTATTATGTGATTCAATCATTTTAGAAATTCTCATCTTTTCCTTTGCATCACTTGTTTTATAAGCAGGAATTCGAGATAGGTCATGAATATTGGGTATTAAGATTGTTTTAATAGTGGGTAAAGATTCTACAAGATATCGGATCGCGTCCATTAAAGATTTGACTACTTCAAGTAGGTTTGCAGACGTATCGGGTGAAAAAAAATAATCGTTTCCTGAATCCCATATCTACAAATTACATATGGATGAACATTAATATATAAGATTAAACAAAATAGTCGTATTTAAATAGGCAAAAAAACAAAAAGAAGAAAGATACATACAGAAAACAAAGTTTTACTAAAATCTTTTTGTCGCATTGTGGATCTAGCATTATCATGAATAAACTTTTCAATCTGTTGTCTGATTCCGGGTACTTTGAACTTACCCTGAGGACCGGTAAGTCCTTGGATAAAGTCGCTACTATAAATTGTTAAGAAATAAAAAATGAATTAGTATAAAATTAACGGTTAATAAAACACATTAAAATTATTTAAGGTTATTTACTTTGAGGTAGCACCGCCAAAAGCATAATTTGTTAATTTGATATTTAGCAGCTCAGCAAGATATTCACACATAACTTTGCCATTTGTGAAGTGGCCTTTATAATTTGCAGGTGTTGGCCATGTTTTATTTGTCAAGTTGTAACTATTTCCGTTATCTTATTAAAGAAAAAAGAAAATTAATGGTAAAATTAAATTAATGGTAAAATTAAAATTTGCAATGATACTATTAACCAATTAATGGTAATGTATTGATATCATACCAGAAAAGGAATCACCGAAAGCAACATATTTAGTAAATCTTTTGCGTGACTTTACAGGAATAAATTTGGTAATAGAGAAATTTTTGGAAGAAGAGGAAGCGATGATTTGCTCTGATTGTTCTGATTGCTCTGATGTGAGTTGCTCTGATTCCTCTGAAGTGGGTTGCTCTGATTTCTCTGATGTGAGTTGCTCTGATGTGGATTTTTGCTTTTTAGATATAATAAACCTTTTACGTAACTTGAATTTGAAAAAATTTTTGGAAGCAGAAGAGGTGGAAGTGTTTTGATCCGATGTGGAGTTCTTTTGCTTTTTGCGCAACTTGAATTTTAAAAAAGTTTTGGAAGCAGAAGAGGCTAAGGTGATTTGATCCGATGTGGATTTCTGTTTTGATGTAGAAAATCTTTTGTATGACCTGATTTTGGAGAAAGTTTTTGAAGCAAAAAAGGAGGTAGTTTTTTGTTCGGATGCGGTGGATTTTTGTTCCGGTGCGGTGGATTTTTGTTCTGATGAGGTGGATTTTTGTTCTGATGAGGCGGATTTTTGTTCAGCTAGGTTAATTTCTTGTTCTGATAGGTTAGTTCCTTGTTCTGATGAGATGGAATTTTGTTCTGATGGGGCGGATTTTTGTTCTGATGGGGCGGAATTTTGTTTTGATGAGGCGGATTTTTTTTGTTTTGAAGAATTAGGTAAAATAGATTTTAAGGAACTGAAAACTGAGGATGATGTTTTGAGAAACATTTTCTTTAAATGAATGTCGAATAGTTTTTCTAAAAATCTATTTAGCAATTGCTTTTTGCTTTTTTGGTTACAACGAGTAAAGAGACCAACTTGCCCTATTTATATATTCTCTTATCGTTATGAAAATTCCGGAATTTAAAGACCTTACACGCGTATGAACGTGCATAAATTTTAAATTAATGCTTGGCAATTGCAGTATCGTATATACAGTATATAGTTATATAGTTACTGCATATTTGATATATAGTTGCGACATCATATGGACGATTCTGATTGGTTGGTAATCCAGCTGGCACCGAACAATCAGTGATAGTGGCTTAATCCGTGTTTTATTATAACCAGTATACTGTATATGAAACGAAATTAATATATACTGTAAACGCCATAAAATTAATTGGTTTATTTTGTAATAAGGCATTGGACAATATTAAATTGGAATTTAATGAAGCGTAAATCATAGTCTCTACTTTTTTTACGGTAATAGTAAATATGTATGCATGTATAAATTTTTTTCTCAAAGCCTTAATCTATTTAAAACGTTATCACCTTAAATATTAGACAATGCATCTTCAGTTATTAAGAGTATAGATCGATAGTCACCTTAAAAAGCTTTGTGAGTACCTAATTCAAATAGTCCATGTGAAATTTGTGATATTGTTCATATTTGATTTTGAACAGTAAAATACGAATTTGCAGATATATGCATAACATGATCATCGGCATTTGGTACTATTTTGTATTATAAAGGTCTTACAAAATTGAAACGATATTCTGCGCATGCTAATTAGTGCAGCTCAAAAACAGTGAGTATCGCGCGCTCTGATTATGCACTCAAAATTTTTTTGCACTGAACGAGCGTTGTATGTACTATATATTCGAAAACAAAGACCTAAAAATTGAAAAATAATTACTATATAAAATTACTAAAATAACCAATTTTTTAATAAATTAATTTTAAATACTAATTTAGTAAAAATATTGTGATTATACGTAGCTGTGGATATTTTTTAAACATGTTCTGGGATTGTAACTAACTTAGATCGTTGTCGGTGTGCTGCATCACTACCCCATCCTAACTTATAATTGGTCAATCAAGAAGATAGTCAGTCACTAACGACAAATTATAATTGTCATAAATATAAATTAAGAACATTTATTTTTAGGAAAAATTTTATTCGTAGATTTTGCCAGATTTCATTGGATAGTTGTAATTAAACCCGGCGAATTAAAACAAAACAGCCGGGTATTCACGGATTCGACAATATGTGATCAACATTCATTTTACCGATTAATTTAGCACGGCAATTAAATATGAAAAAAAAAAAAATATATATATATATATTTAGACATAACAGCTGTTAGTTTAGTTTTAGGGATTGGTCAGACGTACTTTCGTTGGTTGTACTAAGTAAGCTCTTATGTAACAGCCTGTTACTTTTCATATCTGAAATTATCACATTAAGTGAATTGTGATAACATTGGAATTAATACATCTGATTAGTTAATTAAGACATGAATCACATCTTGTGAATAATAAACAATTAATGTTATTACCAATAAAGTGAACTACCATAAAATTGAATTTACTGTCAATCACAAAGACAATTTGTATATATTAAGATTCCCTATATTATCGTCGTTAGTTTATAACAAGAACGCCTCAATTTTCGGACATTTCCACTGTGTTACAGAACATTCAACATTTCTCGCAGTTTAAAATATACGTAGTGATTTTTTTTTGTTATAATAATAAAGCTTGAAACCTTTAATCCATTCGTCCGTTCATTTCTGTTAATATTCAAGACATTATAATCTATTAACAGAATTTTAAAAAAGGTAATTGCATAAAATAATCTAATCATAAGTATCTAAATTTGTTTATCCCGTAAATTATGCGTTTCTGAAATGAGCGAACAATAAATACAATAAACCTAATTATATGGATTAGCAATTATTTATGTCGGTTTATCCTAATATTATTAAGTAAGACTCGATTAAGTACCTTAATGGGTGGGATGAGCTTATCGGAAACCGAATCACGCACCAATAAATAAGCATTCTGCGTTCAAAACAAGAGGTATTAAAAATGTTTCAGATCTTTGATATAAACATTTTATTGAAAATTTCCATTTTAAAATGATTCATGCATTGTCACTTCTCGTCATTATCTTATTACCATATTAAGCCATCTGCATAAACCCTGGAATATTGCGTCATTATCATATTACCATATTGAACTATCTGCATAAGCCTGGAAATATCGAATATGCATTAGAAGCTCTATATTTAAACTAATGCATATTAATATATGGTTATTGTTATAACTTGTGGATAATACAGATGCATCTACGTACTATATCTACTATATCTACTGTGAGATTTACGTAGTACATATTGAACAAGAGAATGTTCTTTATGCTTTCTTTGCATGATTCACCAATAATATCAAATATGGAGTTGTTATACCGTTATTCAGCATATTTCAGTATTTTTAAATATGTTAATTGTTGTAATTATGTACTTTTAAAGGACAAGCAATTTCAATATCTTTTTGGCTTTTATAGAACATATTATATCCGTTATTAAATTATTTTTACTAAATGTTTGTCGTTTATTGGCCCAAATTTCGAAAATTCCAGAAAATCCTATTCTCCCTTTGGTTACACTCAAGTATTCATTTCCCCGTTCTGTATGTATTAATGCATCGGACTTAAAACTCTAAAGCATTGACATAAACAAACAAAATTGGTACGTAACATAATTCTTTATGAAAATTTAATATTTGCATAAAAGGAGTAACCTGAAATTAATGTACACACGTATGTACGTCTTATCACATCAAATAATATGCTAGTACAAATTTATGTTTTATAATGATTTAACGTTAAATTCTCGGAGGTTTTTGATTTACTGATAAGGATCACCAGATTCAAAATTTCAATGCCGCATATAATCACAATGGTTCGTTCTTTTGTTCTAGAAATTGTTATATTTTAATTTATGCATCCTTGAAACGAAAAATATTTGTATCCCTAACAATTTAAAAAAAACATAAAATTATATTTACTATTTATTATAGTTATTATGTGTAGAAATGGGAAAGAAGATACCGAATATCGTAATTTCATACATCGAACACATTGCATAAAGACTTTAATTTTACCTTTAATAAAGAATGTTTCGTTTTATGTTTTCCTATTTATAAAAATAAATTTCTGTGTGACTTTCTTATCGTTATTAATTTCTATTGCATCTTATTATGAATATTAGGTATCTTATTAAAATTAAAATCTTAACATTTAGGATTAATTTTAGAAAACGTTACTTATATTTAGGCATCGTGTAACAATTAATTTTATAACTTCTTTTTTAGTATAATTGAGTCCTGCAAAATAAAAATCTGCAATGCAAAGTGAAAATCTAATTTAACGCCATTTGTGATTTAATCACATGTAGATGGAAAAGGAAAACCTGGTTCTAGTCGATATCTAAAATACAAATTTGATAAAAGCATTTTTTTTGAATTATTAACGTTTTCAATATTAGAAATTTATATTTTTAATATTAAAAAAAATGTTATTTCTAAATAGACAATTTATGAGTGTTTTTTGAGTACATCGGTTCTACACTGGTGATCATAAGTAGTGCAACAAAAAAAATTTTTTTTTAGATCGCAATATTTCACGCAATTCTGGGTCTATCTTTTCAAT